GATTCCCCACGATACTCACATAGATGAGTCCTGAGAAGTATCTCTCCCGTAAGTTGTGCAGCACGGAGGCCTCGTTGAGGCACGTCAGCTCCGCCATGTCCTCCACCTTGGAGAACTTGGGAGGGTTCATCTTCTGGATGTCATCCTTGCCGACCGTGACCTTCCTGCCGTTCTCCGCCAGCTCCACAATCACCTCATCGCCTTTCTCCTCCTTGATGCTGGCGGCCTCGAAGCCCTGCTTCTCCGACGGGATCCAGACCAACTTCTTGGCGGCCCAGTCCGCCTGGGCCACTGGACTGTTGATGAAGTTTTTGTCCACAAAGAGGAACTTCTCGTCCTCGCTGAGCTGGCCCTTCTGTGCCATGGTGTCTGGTTGGTTCCCTGTGGAGTAAAGCAACGTGGTGAGAATCGGGCCCCCAATCAAGCCCTCAAGGTAAGTGAATCTCACGCTTTGCCACGTCTAGGGACACCGGTGGCAGAAAGGCTCCTCCAAAGACGAGGACCTTCCTGCAGTATTGGTTATGATTATCCAAACAAACGGGAACGCCCTTCGAAGGGGTGGATCTTTGCCGATGGGAGCAAGCTTCGAGAAACCACCCGAGGTCCAACAACATGAAACTGGCTACGTCAACCAAGGTCCTCCTGCAGTGACGCACTTACTATGCCGGCCGAGAAGGAAGAAGTAGGGCTCTGTAGGTCAGCGTGGAAAGCCCCTCCAGACTTAACTATGTACTCTAAAAATAACTGTGTGGCGATTGCCAAAGACTTAAACTTAGAGTTCCCATGTAATCTAGCAAATTCCCCAAGCACATACTAAAAAAGATAAGAAAACATTCGCCCTCAGAAAAACGTCTACGCAGGTGATCACAGCAGTATCATCCATAAAACAAAACAATGGAAGTACATGAATTAATGACACACACGACACCACGGAGGGACCTGAGCAGCCTCATGCTAAGAGAAAGAAACAAGTCGCAAGGGCAACATTTACCTGCACATCCAGACTAGAGGAGCCCTGGTGGCCCAGTGGTTAAGCACTCGGCTGTCAATCACAATGTGGGTGGTTTGAACTCACCTGCCTCTCCGTGGAACAAAGGCATGGGAGTCTGCTCCCATAAGGATTTATAGCTTAGGAAACCCTAGGGGCCATTCTACTCTGTCCTATATGATCATTAGGAGTGGGGATCAACTGGATGACAAGGAGTTTGGGGGTTTGGGGCCAGAATAGGCAGGTTCATAGAAAGTAGATTAGGGGGCATTAG